GGAGGGAATGCATTTTAAAATAAATAAAAAAAAGAAAAAATGGGGGTTTTGCTGCAAGATGATCATGTGAGTGGAGATAAAACTTCAGGGAAGGAGCTGTGTAATAAAATGGTTTTTGCTTTTAAAAAGAAGGCACAAATGAAATGGGAATGCCACCTTTCAGTTGAGTTTCCCCTTCCTTCCAAGCACTTTCCCCCATGCAGAAGTTTACTGTAATGCTTCTTTTTCCTCACCCATTGTTTCCTATCTAGACATTCATTTTTTTTCAGTGTTTCATCACGTTTCAAACTTTCTATCCCTTTCATCTCAATACCGTTCTGAACAGTTTCTGTAATTTCTAAAGGCTAAATTCAACAGAACCAGAACTTCAGAAGGGTGCTGAGGGTTTTAAATTCCCCTCCTATCTTAATCTTCTACGTATCTTCTTGTGCTAATATTAAGCAACCCTCTGGGCTTTTCCTGTTCAATATAGCTGTATGTGTTCAACATGACCCAGCAAACAGAGTGCTCTTCAAAGTGTTGTAAGACATGAATGAGTTTGCAAGCAGTGAAAAAGACCAGAGGTTCAAAGGTAAGGGACTAAGATAAGAATTGCCATTTTGCTGGGTCAGACCTTAAGTCCATGCAGCCGAGTATCCTCTACTCACATCTCCAGGCAGAGTTTCAGTGGGCAATGTCCACTGGCTCCTTGGACTCGCTTGAGAGCCAGTGGGCACTGTTCAGTGTGCTCTATTTGGTGTCCCCCCTCAGTGCATTTGTTCTGAACCTTTGACCTCCGCTCCCATGCTAGTTATGCTTTGAGTTGCCCGAAGGAATCAGCTGTAATCTTTAGTGCCCTCCCTCTTAAGGGAGACTTATAGTATTACTTGGTGGGCCTAGGCCCACACCCAATGGCGAAACAAATAGGCCTGTGCCACGCAGAGGCAGGGAGTGGATGCTGAAAGGGAGAGTGAACTAGGTATGACCAGGGTTTTGCAGTCCTCTCACTTGCAGCCTCCAGCATTTAAGGTCTAGGAAGTTCTGATTCAGAGGCTGTAGACCGAACTCCTGTGTTTATAACTACTGATGCCCCTTTCCTCCAAGAATCTGTCCAATGCCTTTTTTAATCTGGTGAAGCTGGCATCACTGCACACTTATCCAAATTGAATTGCCTCTTCCACTTAGTTGTGAATAAAAGCAAGTTGGCGATGTTTAGTTTAGCAACTTTGAAGCTGCTTTCCTGAACAGTGAAGAAACTGAACCTGAACCCCCAGCTGGTGCTGGAGGCTGCAACCCCCCCCCCTCCCCCAACTCTGCTCCCTTTCCCGCTCCCGTTCTGAAAACAGCAGCAGCCTGGGAGGAGGCAGCACAGACATGGTGCAGAAGGCGTTTTGTCTGAATCCTCATGCAATGACGGTTCAGTTTTTCACTCAACTGACCATTTTTGAAGTGGACTGCAGTTGTGCACTCCTGTTTGGTCAGGGCTGTAGACCACTTTCTATGGCCAGACTGGGTGAAAATTGTTACTTCTGTCTGTGCTCTAAAGGGTGTCTGAGCCGGGAGCGAATCTGTGAGGCTGAGGGAACCACAGGAGGCGTCTGTGATAAAGAGCCACAAGGGGACACAGGCGCCTGCCTGGGAGAGCTGTGGGCTGGCAAAGAAACAATTAATTAGCCCTGGCACGGTCAAACAGGGGCCAAGCTGTGCTCCCGGCCAGTTATGCTGGGGTAACAGGAAAAACTTTGTGGGTGTAAGAGGTAAAGCTCTTGCTTAGGCAGTGCCTAGGCTTGGTTCCTCGTGCCTGGAGGGCTCCCAGGGGCAGGGGATGGTGCCGCTGCCCACAGAGCTCGTGGCAGCACATTAACGTTACCGTGAGCAGCCCCTTGCAGCTGGCGGCGCTGGGAGGGGGAGTCCCGGTGGGAGCGCACGCCCCAGGGGGCTCCCAGGACACCAGGGGTCTCGGCGCCGTGCGGCCAAGCCCGGAGCTGAGGGGGACTGACCCCGCAGCCCGCCCGGGCCAACACCGCCTCGGGGCTCCGCGGGCCAGACAGGCGCGCACCGCCTCCCGCGGCGCAGCCCGTTCAACTGCAGCCAACCAGGCGCGGCCGGGGCGGGCTGGGGCGGCTTGTTTGGATTTGAACCGCCGATAAAAGCGCGGCGGCAGAAGCCGGCGGCGCCGCGGCCTCATGGCGACCAGTTCACAGGGCGCGGGCGAGGCGGCCGGCGCCGCCGGGCTGTACAGCGAGGCGCAGC